AAATATCAGGTCATGTGTGTCTATAAATGGTGCCGTATCACAGTATTTTCCATGTTATTCAGGCGTGCGGCAAGGAGAAAATTTATCACCTCTGTTATTTTGTCTCTTCATCAATGATCTTCAAACATTCCTACTGAAAGACGGATGCACGGTTGTTAAAATTGGCGATACGAACAATTTACATGTGCAATTATGTATTTGTTTCTTAATGCTTCTCTATGCGGATGACACGGTCCTACTTGCTGATTCTGCTACTGAACTCCAGAGAACATTATTTTTTTTAAAACTATTGCAATACCTGGAAATTGGACGTCAACCTGAAAAAATGTAAAGTCCTTGTCTTTGGAAACCGGCCGTCCAAAAACTGTAGTTTATCTTTTTATTTGGAAAATACCGAAATTGAGATCGTAGATAATTACACATATTTATGTGTTATATTCAGTAGAAAAAAGGAACTTGAGGTCAGCAATCAAATGTTTATCAGAGAGCGCATCTAAAGCCATGTTCTGTCTTTTAAAGAAATCTAGAAATTATAATGTTCCTCTGGATTGTTTACTGAAGGCTTTTGACGAGGCGATATCACCGATATTATTCAGTCAATTTTACTAGAGAAATTGTACCTAGGCGCATTGCGATCAATAAGTGGTGCAGTTCGAGGAACAAGCCAAAACATGATATATGAAGAAACTAACCAAAAACCATTTAAAGAGCGTATAGATATTCTAAACTGACAACATTTTATAAAATGAAGAATACTCTTTCGACTCAATAGCTCTTACCTACAATACCTAATACTAATCATTATAACCTCAGTGGACATTTATCAGCGCGGACAGTTAAATGTAGACATATGCCAGATCACTTTTACCTATTACAATAACACTATGGAATTCCCAAAGTCCTGAAAGTCAAAATATTGCTACCTTATCCCAAAACTCGCTATGCAGAACTTATAACAAAACTAGTATCTTTGACCTTAACTATAGATCAAGAATATGCCAAATTATCCATTCTCGCTTCAAGCTCTCTATTGTATTGATTTGGATGCCGATAGGTTTGACAGACATATATCATCGACAGCCCCTCGTGTTTGTGTGGTCATCCAGTCGAAAATGATGTACATTATTTCTTCACATGCAATAAATGCATGGAATTATGACACAAATACTCTTTTTATTTAAAGGGATTTAGCATAAACACAGTACTATGAGGATGTGCATCGCTCACTAGCAATGATCTACACAAATTGCCCTAATCGGGTCAGTTCTGAATATTATCATTTTTTTATCAAGTTTTGTGCACTCCTATTATAAACTGTGAAACACAGTTTGACATTTGCGTGTAAACAAACGGCTGCAAAGTAAGGCCACGTATAGTCCAAAGCATTGTCAGACAATATATCACTTTTGAGTTAATTCTGTTTTCAGATTTCAGCGGTTGGGCAAAAGAACTGATGGGTGCACATAATGTTTTTTATATGCTATGTTTGCACAGGGTTGTTGTCCTTCTTTCTGGTGTCACCCGCAAGGTACCGAAATAGATGGCAACAAGGCCGTGCAAACCATGATGCCCTGAACAAGAAGGCCTACACCCTGAACCAGAAACTGAAACACATCTGCGCAGCGAATGGAATGACCTATGTAGACCATCCTCATTTCATGTGTTCTTGGAGAGTAAGGCAGGACTTCATTGCATATGATGGGCTTCAACTGAAACTAACAGGACAGAAACACCTAGCTTCAGATATTATCTGTGCTCTTTGGTGGCATGTTATCCAGACAGGAGGATTGTTAAATACGTTTGCATTCATTCAATACGTACATTAATAATGTACCATAAGGTCTTGGCTCCGGTTGAATGCTGAACTTTTTATTTACCGTTTACTTTGCATTAAAATTGGTACCTGCTCTTCTTTCGAATAAATGGCAACAACAACAAGACATTAATATTAATACTGTGTTACGTTCTTTCAGTTGTAACCCGTTAGCTTTACATGTGGCATTTTGTAACATCACAATGTGGCGTTTAGGTAGACATGATACTCATCTATGGATTTAATCAAAATTTAGATACATATGTGAGGTGTAGGTTGAGGATGAGGTGCTTTTGAGAGCCCGGGCCAAGCCAGACCGAACGCTTGTGATATAGCAACTCTGTTGAGAATATGGAAAAGCGGGCTTCACTTTGAGCAACGTGTTTGCTTCAAATACTACGTTTTAGAACTTTATACAGTGACATGTAGGTAGATATAATGCTAATCTATGAATCTGGACACATTTCATGATACATGTGTGAGATTTAAGATGCTTTTGACAGCCCGGGCCAAGTGGGGCCAACAGAGACTTAACACTTTTGATTGAGGCTATGTTGAAAAGGAGAGAGAAAGGGCTGGAAAAGTGATATATAGGTAAATATAATACTAACCTGTGAATTAAAACACAATTCAAGATACATGTGTGAGGTTAAAGCTGCTTTTGACGTCCCGAGGTATGCCAGACCGAACAATAGTGGCGGTGATTATGTTGAGAGTGTAGGAAGAGATCGTTTCATTTGCAGATGGGTAAGCCTTACATACAATGAACAGTGGCCTTATAGGGTGGTATTTGATTGGATATAGATTTAAAAACATTTTCAGGGTCGACAGAAATGTTTATCGGGAGTGACTGAAGCATTTTGCGTTTTAAATCCTGTCTCGTTTAACGATTCTTCTTTTTAGGCGTAACCTTGGTCAGCCACGTTCAGATGCCGATAACCTTTAGATATGTATACGTTAGCACCCTCCTCTCAAGGGTGATATGGATTTCAACGCTCGAGCCGTCAGGCCGTTGAATCAGCCCTGCAGAGGGGTGTGTGTGTGTGTGTGTGTGTGTGTGTGTGTGCTAACCTACTTATACTGCGCGTGGGCGCCGAATGGACTCGTACATTGCTTGTTGCATCGTGCGTTTCCTGCACCGCCAAGGTTGTTATCCACATATCAACCTCTGCATCGTGCATGTAGAAGGTTGATACACAGAAAATCAACCTGCCAGAACAATGGACATATTAACATACCCTAGTGGTATAAAAGTCAGACGTCGTCCGTTATTTTTGTTGCCAAAATATATTTTAAAAAGCGACGTCGCGCAAGACGTCGTTCTTTTTTTACGCGCCACGCGATGGCAATTTTCGGACACCATACATAGTGGTGGACCTGTTCCGTTGTGAGTTATTTCCTATGCGTTGTTCAATAAATTCGCATGTTATGAAAACAACCATTAAAACCGGATAGCTGGAATATCAGCATGCAAAGTTCAGTGGGTTATCATTTGCCATCAAATTACAGATCAGTCAACAATATAAAGTCAACGACAGAGACTATTCAGTCTCGTTGGGGCAAAACAGGGTGGAAATTGTATCAATGGCATTCTGAAAATCAGGTGTTCGCAAAAAGGCTTAGAACGTTCTGGCCTACCAGTAGCAGAAACAAACAGAAAGGGGATAGGCTATTTATATCTGCGGTCATGGTGTATGCCGTACACAATCTACAGTCAATAAAGACGACAAAACCTTATATAAATGATTAAATATATAAATTGATAATTATTTAAAGACCCTGAACATAAGCAGTCTACCTTTTCGAATCCTCGCTGCCATTGTCGAGTGAAGTTCACTTTGAGATTGTTTCAATGGCGAGCTGTTCCTCCAACCTGATCTGGTCGAGTTGAACAACAAAATGAGCTTCCTGGTTTTGCTTACGGAGCAGTGTAGAGAGATATGGATTGATCGATTCACACATCACTCCTTGTTAGATACAGATTGTTACACGAGCATGTGTGTCATACGACTGATATGAAATGAATTTGAAATTTTGTATTGACTCGCTCTCGCTCGGGCAATGCATAAATTTGCACGAGTTTCGTACAAGTCGTATGATACGCTTGCTCGAGTGTAATAATTTCTTTATTATCCATCTTATTCATGTACATTTGTGCAGTAAAACACGGTAAGCAAGTGTGACGGTCCTCTTCAGTCATGTCATGTTCAATTGTTTAATGACGTCACAGACGACGAATACAGAAACAATGGTTGCTAGGCAAAATTGATATGTGGTCAACGTATGGGCAGTTGCGTACTAATCTCGTATGTCACACGAGTGTCGTATCGCGTTGACCTGTGCCGTAACGACTTGACCTGACATGATTGGATAACCGATGACCTCAATTAGGTCACGTTGTGACGGAACTACTTTCTCATTCAGAACAAACACGTGTTTTCGTTCATTCTACAACTTATAATACATGTTATTATAATTCAGGTCATACGAATTACATACATACGAATTATACGAAACTCGTGACCTTCCTATTGTTTCTGGTCAGATACCATAGGAGGGGGACACTGCGTTTGGTATAATCCGTATTTAATCAGACCACGTATTCTCTATATATGACACTGGTTATGTTTCACCATATCTTTCTGTTCCTCTGATCCCTAGTGCAAGCCTCTATAATGCTGCCCAGAGAACGGAGGATCGGGGGTTCGCCCCCAGATATAACAAAATATATTCAAAGATGGAACTTGTTATTACCCCTGTAACAAATGGTAGGAAACACGGGTTCGATCACTCCGGCTGATTCCGCTGTCAATATTGGACAGACAAGACGACTTGCTTTGTAACCTGGTATTGTATTCTTCTTGAATGAAAACTTAACGGCAATAGTTGTCAGTATCCATTCTGACCACCCATCACCCGGTCCGGCTAGCCGGATTATATAGTTAATAATATTATTGTCAACATGCTTCCCTTACACGAAATAGCCATGGAAGCCTGGCAGGGTAGAAGGTGGGGTTAAACCCGGTTATAACATCACTCCTACACACACCCAATACACCTCACTCACTACTCAGCCCGCCACCAACACACTCACTACCTCACTCATCCCAGCTCCCAACTTGCATGCACTCATTCGAACTTCAACTCACTCACTCGACTCCATTCTTGAACAATAAAACAACGAAGATCCAAGTTATTGTATTCAGCAACCCGTACTTTGTAGTAAGAGGCAACTAACGGGATCGGGTGGTCAGATCGCTGACTTGGTTGACACACATGTCATCGTATCCCAATTGCGTAGATCGATACTCATGCTGTTGATCACTGGATTGTCTGGTCCAGACTTGATTATTTACAGACCGCCGCCATATAGCTGGAATATTGCGGTGTTAAACAAGAAACAAACTTTGAACAATAAATAACAACAAATTTCTCAGGTGAATGTTTATTGAAGACGTCATAGCTCAACACCTTATTGGCAGTGTTAGTGATGTTTAAGACGTTACCGGGGCCCTGGCGAGATCCTTTGTGTTCTCTGAAGGAAGGTGATGGTGCCAGTCCTACCTCCGCAGCAGGGGTGGGTGGAGAAAGCTCTGTACCACTGACGGTAGTATCCTGGGAACACAAACAACAGCAGTCACCTGATGTATTCATACACCCAAACCCTATGGCAGCGTGAATCTGTGGATATAGATCTTGGCCTTGCAAATGTTAACATTACTACTACTACTACTGCTGCTGCTACTTACTACCACTACCGCCACTACCACCGCCGCTACTACTACTACTACTACTAGTACTGCCACCACCACTGCTACAACTACTACTACTACTACTACAAGTACTACTACTAGTACTGCCACCACCACTGCTACAACTACTACTACTACTACTACTACTACTACTAGTACTACTACTAGTACTGCCACCACCACTGCTACAACTACTACTACTACTACTACTAGTACTACTACTACTACCACCACCACCACTGATAGTTCTCCTACCTAGAGAGTGTACACTGACATTACCTCCTCACTGAGAGAATCTTTAGTTGCGAAATAATTTACAACTGTAATAAAGATTTAGTATCCTAATTACCTGATGAAAATGCGTGCAGGACTTAACAAATATGCTCTTTGCAGGTGCAACTCACCGTCTCTTTGTCCGCTTTGACGCCCGTAGCCTACTGAACCAAACTGTGGTCTTTGGCTCCATCCCTGTTGACCTTGAAACTGGAACGGGCACCTGCAAGATGGTTGTCCACTGTTATCGTACTCGTCTGACTCGACGAGTGGCCACCTCTGCTTCTCCTCCACTACGACCTCGACTATGTCGACCCCTGCTGCGTCTTCCTCCACGACTCCGCCCTCCACTACTACCACGTCTATGTCCATGACTATGACTTCCATGACTGTAACCTCCGCGACTGCGGCCTCCGTACCGACGACCTCCCTCGACTGCCTCGGCCAAAGCAGTCCGTGCATCCGTAACCTATACGTTCGCGTGATCGACTACGCTTTTGTCAGATGATGACTTTGATCATCCTCCTCTGCAAACACGACCGCCACTGAAACAACAGAAAAATATTACGCATTATATTTTATTTTCTCGTGAGATCAGGAAACGTTTTCCTCGTGAACACAGATTCAATGAAATGGTCATCATATAAAGTTCCAAGGGCTAAAATGCCAGATTCGACCGAAATATGTTGTTGACACCAGACCCATGTCCAAGGGTTTCATAAAAGAGGTAAAGTTCTATATCTGAGTTATTGGGCCTTCCTTCCCTAAATACTGTTCGAAAACGGCAGTAGACCGAACCGTGAAAAACCCCGTCTTATTGCGGGTAGGGGTTGTGACGAGTATCTCTACTCCGCAGATTGCTATCTTAAGGATATAAAGATGTAGATGCAGATAAAGGTGGCACAACGTCTGAAAATAGACTCGATGTGGTCATCATGCCACGGGACTCTGTTCCTGGACAGTGACAATGGGGCGCCAGTCATTTGATCCATAGCATATTTGAGATATTGGAACGTGGTTTGGGTAACAAAACATTTCTTAAATTAAGTAATGACTCTTAAGTGTCAATCCTTAACATATCGCATGTAATATAATATTTGTAAAACTTTGTCCTCTTCCCCATGTTAATAGATGAATTCAAGATGAGTTCATGTGATATTAACATTGAGACACGCAACCTTTGCTCGTCCCGGGTTCGATTCCCCATGTGGGTACAATGTGTGAAGCCCATTTCTGGCGTCCCCCGCCGTTATATTGCTGGAATATTGCTAAAAGCGGCGTAAAACCATACTCAATCACTCACGCAACCTTTCATAAACTCACCAACAAATCTGCAAACTCACTCACTCACTCACCACCCGCCCGTCCAACCACACATCCACTCCCTGGGATATTCACACTCACTCACCCAATACCAAACCTGCTCACACCTCAACACATTTATCCACTCCCTGGTCCACCCATCCACCTACTCATTCATTCATCCACTCACCCTTACTTTCGTTTCGTGATAACACGACAATTAGTTGTCACATTGTCGCGTTTTTATATTTTATTCTGCATTTTCTAAATTCAGTTGTTGATGAATGTGCCCAGCATTTGTGCCTAACTCCCTTATTACTTCGGTGAGCACTAACATGATGCTGATAAACATATAAACATATTCAGGATCGGCAAGTGTTCGAACCAACGATCACGGGTCCTGACACAACAAAGGGACATAACTCTGGAACGTGAATTTCAGCACTTAAGGGCCACCTAGGACTCCAATGTCTTGATGGCAAGAAATGACGTGTTGTGGAACATATAAACATACTCGGGATCTACAAGGGTTCGAACCAACGATGGAGGGTTCCTGACAGCCTTGATGGACGTTTTTTGTAGCAGTCTCGAGGGCCACCTGCGACCCCGATGTCACATTGATGGCAAGAACAGATATGTAACACATGTTATATTTGGTATACACTTTCTCAGTGAAATATAGATTCTCGTACTTTAGTTAGGTTGAGCACCTATTCGCCAGCACACAAAGTCAACATCTAACCCACTCAGCCACCACGGCTGTGTTACATATGACCACTGTCTAAATGGCATTGTGTATCAAAGAAATTACATATTGTGGATTGAGTCAAAAGCTTAATTTGAAAAGCACCCAGGTGTTCATATAGTTATAGATGTGTGTATAAACCTCTGAAGACATATGGCATTGACCTTTATCGAGTTGTAAGTTCAACAATAACCATGCACATAGATATCTACAGTCCTTGCCGAGATCAGTGTGTAAATGAGTATGGTTATGCTCACCAACGGCAGCCGTGACGACAAGCAACAACAGCCAAGTCCTCATTCTCAGAATATGACGTATACAACTCTCCCCGTCAACGATGTTGCTGTGATCGTCCAACAAGTTCTGACCCCCTCGATCGGCGTCTGTAAAACAACACTGGCGGGTAAAGGGGGCACTAGGAGGAATGGACATGGGATATGGCCCTAGGTTATCAATCCGTATCCAATATCACCTGGGTCCGGTTTCTCAGATACTCAATACTGCCTGTATGTTTACATGATGATTAAACTGGTTCAAGGGTCATGGAGACCAATAGCATTGTCTGTATATAGAAAATGTTCATCTGAGGTTCCGAGATGCTGTTCCGAGTGAGTGAGAGGTCGTATGTATGTATGTATGTATGTATGTGTGTATGTGTGTATGTGTGTGTGCGTGCGTGCGTGCGTGTGTTTGTATGTAAGTGTGTATGTGTGCATGCGTGTGTATCCATGCATGCATACATGTATGCCTCTGTGTGTATCAATGCATGCGTGTGTGTGTGCGTGTGCGTATGCGTGTGCGTGTTGAACTCTCCCAAAAAAGGAAGCACATGGGTGACATTGATATGAGACATTTCAAATATTTTTCAAAATTAAACTAGTGCTCAAAAGAAAACTATACACCGCACAATATTACATAAAATTCACAAAAATATCAAATGAAGTGATAAAATCATACTGTGCCATGTCACACGTACAGACCCATCCTTTTATGGAACAAACGGCTAAACAAGTTAGCGAATCGCCGGAACGTCGAAAAAACTCCAAAAACGACTTTTTCTGATGTAACACGTATGCACGTGCATACTGACGGTATAAAACGGCCTGCGCGACACGTGAGTAACACAGTTATAAAAGAACACAAATTTGAGGCAAATCGAAGGAGAGAGTGAGATGTCGGAATGGCCCTACAAGGAGCTAAGCACACTGTCATTGTCTGAATCTTCGGCTGCACCCGAGCAACTGTCATCAGACAAAACATGTCAGACAGGCCTAAGAGAGGTCGAACATGTGTGACAACGCCCGATGATGATCGTTACATCCGGACAATTCATCTGAGAAATCGTTTTGTAACAGCGACGTCAACGACAGCAACGGTACTAGGACCACAGGCCCTCGTGTCTTTGCGAGGGATTACAGATTTTTTAAAATATATAAAGACTTGAGATGACCCGACTCGAAATGCTTCACAGTGCAATGATACATCATGACAAGGCCGGACACTTCTGGTGCACGCTACCCCCTCCCCTACAATCGTATGCAATCGATTAAAATTTAATGTAAACATAATCATGGATAATAGCCTATCGAACACCACCATGACACCTACCAATTCTTTATTGTTATTTCTGCAAGTCGATTGGAAGGGGCGGTGGGTAGCCTAGTGGTTGAAGCGTTCGCTCGTCACGCCGAAGATCCGGGTTCGATTCCCACATGGGTACAATGTGTGAAGCCTATTTCTGGTGTCCCCTCCGTGATATTGCTGGAATATTGCTACATGCGGCGTAAAACTGACCCCAGGCACGCAAGTCGATTGAAACCCGATTTTGACTCTTAACTAAACGATCTTTATACAAATGGATGACGATATATCCGCACAAAACGTGGTGTGGTCAAAGCAAGCCCTTCACTCTATGAACGGGCAGTTCTGATGAATCGTGAGCAGGGCATTGCCTATATAAGTCCATTTTGTTTTAGACGGTCATTGGTATTTTAGCTAAATGAAAGAATATCGTTATGCTGCGACTCACTGTCGTTACCCGTGAAGATCCTCGTTAGAATTGATCTTCAGTAACCCATGCTTGTCGTAAGAGGCGACTAACGGGATCGGGCGGTCAGGCTCGCTAACTTGGTTGTCACATGTCATCGTATCCCAATTGCGTTAAAGCGTTCGCTCGTCACGCCGGAAGGCCAGGGTTCGATTCCGCACATGGGCCAAATGTGTGAAGCCCATTTCTGGCGTCCCCGCCGTGGTATTGCTGGAATATTGCTAAAAGCGTCATGAACCACACTCACTCACCTCGCAAAGAGGAAAGGGCGAGAATTCCATAAAGTTGACTTCAAAGACTTATTCAATCCATGCTGAGATGAACAGTTTTGCTGGCTCATGATAGCCACAACAGATCTAGATACTCGACAACGCCCAACTGGGACGACGCCTTAACTTATTGAACGTTATATAAGCTATGCGTATGTTTACAAATCTATTATACTGAGACATTATTACATGTGTCATCTCATTTAAAGATAACAAGATAAAATTCGCGAAAATACACATATGGTGCGTTTCTTTTGGGGGTGAGTATATCGGTTGGAATTTAGAAAACAATTATATTTGCGATAAAGTAAAAAGTAATTCTGGGTTGAATGGAGCAACCATGTTTGGTCCCTATAAAAATCATTTTAGCTAATCTG